TGTTCAGCTATTGAACTGACTATTGTTATTCTGGGTTTTGACACCGTGTAGACTCGGAGGTAGATACGTTTCAGAGAAAAATATTGTCCATTTTTAGACCTGAAAATGGAGACTACTTTTTTCTTCAAAATGTTGGTATCTACGTACTACGTACTTGTCACATCCCAGAAGAACAACACTGTCATCCTCACTTCCGCGAGAACCCCACATCTACCACAGCCATTGACGTGATCACCGCGTAGATATTCATCTTATTGACTCTTTGTTACGAGTCGATCCTCTTGGTACATGAGGGTTAATTTCTGTAACTGAATCGAAGTAGCATATGAACTGAACTGAAGAGAACCCTTTTCAAACTGGGATTATCCTGAACAGTCTGTGATTAAGTTCTTAATTAAATATTTGAACTTTTGAATGGCGGTGACTGCTACCGCAAAGTTAATAGTGTTCCTTATTGCTGCAGTATAATGAAACTCTTCTGTTAATTGAAAATATGTTCCACGGTCTTTGACATTTGAAGCTCAGATTATAAATCCTTTCTAAGATTGTCATAAGCATATGAAGGGGTTTGTTTAAGACAGTTTCTGATTTGCTGAATAATTTCAGAAGTGCGTAGTGTGAAGTTGAGCCGTCAGTTACAATGTGATAAAAAGTGACGAGGCGTTGAATTTTCATTAAATTATAATTTTCAACATGGCACAAAACAACATTTCTGGAGGGAGACTTGTGTGTTGTTAATTTGTGCGAAGTGCTTATTATTGCCTCCTAACACAGAGCTAAAGATTTTAATTAAGAACTTCCTTCCATTACATTGCTTTCTCCTACTCTACTAGCGCTCTGAGGCTGCGTTTTAGTGCAAAAGCGAAACGATTATCGTCCTTGTTACGTCACGTGCTTTTGTATGGTCTTTTGATAGACTCAACGTTCTCATACATTTACATTTTTAATTAATTGCATCTGCTTGTTATATAGGTGTTTTGCATCCTTACTGACTCAGAGGATAGCACATGAGCAGGAATTAAACCAATTAAACACCAGTCCAAACAAAGTATAAAATTAAAATACCTAGCACCAAATGTAAATTCTTGGGAATATGCAGAAACATTTAGATATTAAAAATTAGGTTATACAGTAAAATTATTGTGCAAGTATCTGAATTTAAATAAGCCTTTACACGATTTCTTACATTAGTCCACAGAAAGCACGTGAGAATAAAACTAAAACTTATAGAAACATGGATTTAGTTATTAACATGTTTCAGGAAACGTAATTAACGGCAACATTATATCAATATTACATTGGAAATAAAGGTTCGAAGCCTGGATATTTGAGAAAGGAGACGCCAAAATTCAGAAGCAGCACCATTATTGGGTCTTTTATGAAATTATGGGCATAAAAACAACAGAACAAATTAAATGTTTCGTGTATTATCTATAAGAGAAACTGAAGACTGCCAGGAGACTTGGCTGCAACGCATGCAGAAATGACACAAGTGGGACAAAAAGCGCGGGGACGAACAGATTCTGGGTTCTGGAAGAAAGCTGGAGAAACAGACCACACATACGGAGTTTAGAAACAGGCATCTAGGCCTAATCAGTCTAGTAATGTTATGTTACGTCTTGTGACATTTCTCGACGTTATTTTAGAGAACCACGGTTTTTTATAGGAGAAAGGGCTGCTAATCACTCTACAATTAGGGTAGGTCCCCTGCCGGTAAACGTACTACCTTTAAAATGGATGGTCTTTGAAATAACCCAGAATTGTTTTTCGTTTTTGGCAACCTATCTATTAAATCCGATTATTATTAGTTTAGGAATATAGAATTCTGAGAGATCTTAGTTTGAGACCTGCTGATGCTTAAAAATTCTTTATTTGGTAACAAGCTATTAAAGTACAAACCCATACTAATAATCTACCAATTTTTTTAAATGATATATACATTTAAAGATTTGAAAGAAATGGAATTGATGTTGTCAGATATGTTCATGTTACACCGTAGATTTAAGTGTAAGTTTCTGCTTGGGCTATCGTCTTTTTTTCTGCATGTTTAAACTCACAAGAACAGAGGCTGCGTAGGAAGTAAACTCCCGACGTGTAGTAGTTCGTTTGGTCGCCATGTATTCTGTTTTGTAAAAAGACTGGCATTATCAAAAGGTGCCTAATTTCAACACACTAATTTTCAGAAGTGTATATTAAATGGTGCTAATGTCTCTCCCACCTCAGATGTTGCACAACCGCCATATTGAAATCGTAGAAGGTTGGATCTTGTGAAATATGTCGCCGAGGTGACTCGCAATGACACAGTCTTCGCACATAAGGTTATGTAAGTTTTTCAGCAGGTTGAAAGTGATTGAGTGGGCACATTCACACGACAGCCAGTAACGCACAAGCTTAAAAATGTCTGGTTTCCGATATTGGCTTCCATCACGGATGTTAAACACACGATTCGATGATTGAATTTTTCTACAGTTTCAAGATAAGTGCTTGTAGGGCTTTTCGTCGTTTCTATCGTGATTACTTTTTTAACCAAGTGATATATAAAACTCTGTTTCGTCCTGCACACTCGAAATTCAGTGGAGGGAATCTATCTATTATTGTACCTACGTGTACCAAGGATGATAAAACTAACAGTAGTACTTAATGAGGAATATCAGTATTATCAACTACATACAAAATTGTATTCAATGTTCTTCGGAAGGTTAACTCCATACGTAGACGGGATTATTAGAGTGTAGTTCATCTGTCACCTGCTTAACAGATATTGTACACTCGTCAGACGCTGTAAGAAATATGGGAATACAGAGTGACAGTACACCAGGAATTTATTGACGTCAAGAATAACTGCGGATTAGTTAGGAGGTGAGTATGACAACATTCTCGTTCAATTCGGGACACCAATGAAATTAATTAGTCTAATTAAAAAGCGTCTTTAGGAATTTGGTCTAGAATTAAACGCAGAGAAAATTAAGTACTTGTTCATATCTCTTCACCAGACTACAGGACAAAGTTATTGTATGAAGGTGATAAGTAATTATTTTCAGAAAGTGGCAGAGGTTCAAATATTTGGGAAAGACGGGAACAAATCAGAAACTCGTTGACGATGAAATTAAGACCGGGATTTGAGGTTTTCATGGCGGTGAGTTCGAAGATGGTTGTAACGCCTGGTAGTCTGGTAGAAGTTTACCAGCGTTTCAGAGGTCTTTGCTGCTTTCATCACGAGGGCGCTACAGCACAGAAGACAGCCATCTTCTAATTAAAAGCAGACTAAATTTGGGGAATGTTTGCCACCATGGAGTTCAGAATCTTGTCTCTCTCCGTCTTCTGCGTAAAAACGTAGTGATTACAATATATCCGTTATTTTGTATCTTTGTGAAACTTGGTCTCTCGTTAGAGGGAGACTGCAGATTGGGTGTGGTTGAGAACAGAGCGTTACGAGAATATTTGGACCCGAGAGGATGAAGTTACAGGAGGCTCGAGAAAATCGCATAGTGAGAACCTCCATAATTTGTAATCTTCCCCATATATTATTAGGACAATCAAATTAAGAAATGTGTGTGGATGAACGAGGCTTGTAGCGCGGATGGGGGAGATGATAAATGCATACAGAAGTCTGATCGAAAATCCTAAACCGAAGACGACTCGGAAGACTTCGGCGTAGATGCGAGGATAATATTAAAATTGATTTCGGGCAATATGATTGGAGGGTTTGTATTGGATTTATCTGGCACGGTAGACTCTTGTGAAGATGGTGATGAACCTTAGACTTCCATAAAATGCTGGTAATTTGTCTAGCGGCGCGTAAAATTTGCTTCTCAAGAAGAACTGGTTTATTCTTTGTTGTTTTGTTATACCCATAGCTCTTCCTGTAGATGTTTCCGCGCAGAGGTTACTGCCATTTATTATCAGACACGTTATAGTTGGCGGGTGGATGGGTAGCTGTGGAACATGGATGGGTGAAATAAGTGAAAGTAGTGGGCCCCGCAGGCTTTACAGCAAGAAACTTCCAAGAACTGACTGCCAGCCAGACAAATATCTAGAGACAAACGTACTAGGACCGGCAGTATGACAGACACTTGATATTTGACCCAAATTGTTAAACTTTAACGTGGTTTGTCACAAGTAACGGGACTCCCTTTGGCGTGTAATAGAGACTTAAAACAGAGAATAGATTATGCTTTATGATGCAATACGAAATGGCGCGATGTGACTGAGTAACAGCATGAAAACTCCTAATCTTATACCCTAGAGGTGTATAATGTGCCTGTAAGTTATTTCATGTTTCCAAATTATTGAACCAGCTCCACGGAACAGAGACCTGATAAGCTGACGGTCGATGCCCTAATGAAAAATTTATCCTTCTTTTAAAGAATCCGAATGTTCGTTACCGTGTTCACAAGATCTCGCCACTAAACCGTATCTTGAGTTAAATGGATCTGTTCCACAGCCAGAAAGAGATTCTATTCAAATTTGAAGAATTCTAATGGACACGCACACACACACACACACACACACAGCAAACCACTTTTGGATCATCTGCCAAGAACGTATATGAACAGGTCCCAGTCCGAGAAAAGGATGGAAGGATCCTGTTCATATGGACCTGTCGTCAGACAGAACACTAAATAAATAATAATAATATAGGCACACAGTTTCAGTATTCTTCAATAGCTAGTTCGGTTTGTACGTTCGATTCACATGTCTGGGCAGTACACAGTAATCCTATCATTCGACAGGATAAAGTTTGAACTACTGACAGCGTCGTTAAATACACCATAAGAAACGCCATTTTGTTAAAGCGCCCTGGGTAAAAGACCTGAAACCTTTATACTTATTACATAAATTTCTGACATGAATCCCAACATCTAATGCATGTTATTAAAACTTCCATGAAGCTTTGCGTCTTGTCTGTGTTTACTCTTTGAGTTGTTGGAACATGAACCGTAACTAACAGCATAGTCTGTATTATAATTGGTGTTGTAATTATGAACTTGTTTTTTCAGGATTTATCAACTGTAACACGAACGCACTTCAGTCTCTAGCCCAGCTGCATGGTAAGTTTATGCTATCTTTATTAATACTAAGTAAACGTACAGGGAGCGGATATTGAAGAATGTGTTATATACAGTACGTCCCATAATTTTGTAACAAACTGAACGGAAAACTAATAAATTTCAGGCTTAAAGTGTTAAATTGTCGAGGTACAGGATGTTTTGGAGCAGCATAAATTTGACAAATATTTATCATTGAATGTAAAATTTGTTACCGTTGTTTTCGATGCAAGTTCAGCCCACTTCACACACGATCTCCGTTCGTTTTCGTTTGTGCAGCTGCATGTACGCCAAGAATCGACAATTTAATTCCCGTGGGCACCTTGGTACCCTCAATGGTTTTGGGACGCCCGCTAAAATTGTATAACATTCATAAGGAATTTGAAATGGTTGATTTTTTAATTGTCCGATAATTTGTCACGTTTTCGTTAAGTTATTTTTGACACAGCTTATCAGATGCGAGTCGTAATTCAGTTATGTCATTTTTTTTATTCTTTGTAAATAAATCGGCCTTTGTTCTGAGTGTGTCCCAAAGGCAGAAATACAAAGGATTAAGGTCCGGTGAGCATGATGGCCACTGTACCGGACCTTCACGGCCTACCCAGCGATTCTAAAATAATTTATGTACCACCTGCAAACAGTAGAGGAATGTGGGTTCTGCACGATGGGGCGCCCCCACATTTCACCTGTGTTGTAGCGAATCATTTAACATCAACATGTGGTTGATGATACAACATTTTCATTCTGTTTTGTTACGTACCACTGGTTGGGATAGGGGAAGTTTGTCAGATCATGAACCTCAATGAACTATGTGTATTAAATGTGAAGTAGAATCAGGGTCCAAACTTGATATGCGTATTTTTTACTTGTTAAGATCTGTTCTTGTTATAATTTTCGATGGTATGAATGATAAACTTGAATTACCCAAAGCAATTCAGATTCATTCGATGGCAAGAAAAGTTCAGATCTGTGTGGAATGTTGACTGTTGACTTTGTGTTATAGGACCTAACCAAAATATTTAATGTATTGTGTACAATTTGAGGCAGTGCAGGCATGCTTTGAGGTTTGTAGCTTGGAATCTGTGTGTGGTTCGCTAGTATTGACAGAAGAGCAGGTAATTCACTGAGTTTGGCCCTACTACTACAACTGTGGCTTGCTCATCATTAGAATGAATTGCTGTTGTGTTCACTTCGCGCCATGAGATGGCTGTTGTGAACAATTATCCAATTGAGGAACGTCTCATCCTGGAACACTGTGTTGATTGAGGGAATTGGATAATTTGTCTCGGTCGGGAGTCGAGTTAGGGTCTGTAAACCTGGAAAGCAAGAGGGGCACACAGACCTGTAACTCAGTGTTGAAATACACAAGTGAAACGTGTTCATAAGAATTCAGTACCCCGAGGTATGTGTCACTGAAGGGGTGGAGTTTAACTTAGAGGAAACAAATTATTAATTTTGTTTATTCAAATCATATGAATTTCGTCGTGCGCACCAGTGAAATTCATAGTCTTGCTTAATAGCAGTCTCAAAGGATAAAATCTACCCAGTGGTAGACGTAGACGACTTCTAATGTTTTCCCGAGGAGAATATTCTACTATTAAATAGTAATGCGTATAATGTAGCTTTGAAATATCAGCCAAATTTCTGTAGCCTGTGCGTTAACAGTTCGTGTCTCTTCTTTCAGAGAGGACAGGTTAAAATGAGACTGATTATTAAATTCTTTAATGAAGCTACTTCAGCTGATGGGGTTTGTTCAAAGCGATGCGAAGGTGGTCTGGATATGTTTCCGACGATGGTCCGTTGTTATAAACTTAATCATTATTTCGGAAATGTCATATTGTTTCTTTAACACGACGTTTCGATGGAATAGACTGTTCTGATTGACTGACTCGTGACGTCGATGGCTGTGATGATGAATTTCAGAAAATATTTTTGTTAATAGTCATGGAAGATTTTTTAGTACCGCTGGAGACATTCTCTTCCTCTGTGGCTGTCGGAGCTGTGATAACTTTTTAGTGAGCTTGTGGTGATGGGTTTGTGTTATGTGGCGGTAGGATCGGCTTTGTATTGTGACAACTGTTTGAATTCATCGTGGTAAATTACGTAAGAGAAATTTAACTATGTAGTGTGTTTACCGACATAAGTTTGTTTAAAATATTTTGAATTCTGCGTTGTGGGAGGGTACCATAATGCATCAGTCGTTTCGTTTTACAAGTACTCTGTCGCCTTTGCTCTAATGAGATAGGATTTTCATCTTCTTTTACCGTTTACAAATCATAATTAACATCTGAAACTATTAATACTTTGTACTTAAGTTATTTGGCAATACTGCTTGGAAGGGTTGTGAACCCCTCGCCGTTACGAAGCCTTAACACAGGCGGAAAACTTGAATGGAAAGGTCCACTTGCAAGACCTAGTATAGATGGGATATTAATATTAAAATTGATCTTAAACAGTGTGGAAGGTTGTGAGCTGCATGGATTAATTTGGGATCTCTTAGGAACACAGTAACGAGTCTTCGAGCTCTTTAAAAGGCGTAGAATTACTTCACTATCTGAGGAGCGATTATTGTCTCAAGGAGGAAAGTTTTTATTTTTATTTTAAAATTGTGGATTGATTATTTATGATTTTGTTTGGGTAAGGTTATTCCTGTATTGAGAGCTTTAAGTTAAATAACAGGACTAAGTTTTCCCCTTGAAAGACCAAGAATATTCAGTTTGCTGTTTATCGTTTGTGTCTTCCCTTGCTTGAGAATGAGAATAAGTTTATCAAGCGACCCGTTTCCACATTAGGGAATAAGACTGCAGCTTTTCGGCCATAGGTCAGTAGAAGAAATTACTTTTACCCCATGGCTTTAAGCAAGCCCTAGGGAATCAACCGGTTCCACGGAAGTTACTAGACTTAACGTAGCAGGAATTGAATCCTGCCATCGTTCACGAAGTTAAATCACTTGCAAAATTCATGAGCCCCCCCCCCACAAGCCTCGAAGTTGAAGAGAAATTTTCCCAGCATAAAGGACATTCTGTTGCTTTTTGGAGTACATAGATGTGACTAGATTATTAGTCCCAAAATTGTTTATTCAATAAAAGTTCTGTAGCCGCCATGTTACGGTTACTGAATATAATCGTATATAGGCCTACTTCGAGCTACCTTGTGCATGGAAGAATGTAAATTTAAATCGTTTTATGAGGTCCAACTCAATTTTGGAATTGTACAGAATGTGCGGCCTCATATGTCCCAGTTAAAATTCAAATTCGTGCGAAATATTTATTTGTGTATCGCAGTTTTATATTTTAATTAAATAAAGTGGAAATGTATTTCAATGAAATTCCCATTTGTGTGTGCGTGTGAGGAGATAGAGGAACGAAAAATATATCTTACTTTAATCTTGGTATTAGTAAAAGTAGGCGGTAATACTTTCTCCATCCGTGTAATGGCTTCGGGAACAGTGGCCGCTTTTTTAAGTAGCCTTTAGCAGGCACTAAATTTGGCATGGCTGATGCAAAGCATAGCCTATCAACTGATTTTTCGTAGTTAAACTGTGAATACATTACAGTGAGAAACGATGGTGTTTAACAAATTGTAGTGATTTATGCATGACTGGTTTCAGCGTTGGTTATGCCCGCAACAGTGAAAGTAGTAGATGAATTTATGTGTATTATATGCAACCATCCGAATTGTTTAACTGATCCTGCGGCCTGCTGCAGTGGATCGACATTCCTGCAAGCTGTGACGCCTGTTTTCCAGCCAAGAGTGTTTAATTTCACTTTATTTTTGTCATTTTCTTCAACGATTTGTAACATCTAGACAGCTTGATATTTAAAATCAACTTCTTACCTCAAAGAAAACAACCCATCTATATAAGATTGTTTCGGAAAAAAGTCGCTGGTTGCTATGATAATCGAACGAAGTCCTTAAATATCCCCTGAGGACAAAATAAATAGTTATTGAATGTTGACGCAGATGGTACACATACTTACCACAGTCTTGTAAATGGTTAATCGTACCACACAAAAAAACCAAAGTGGCTTCTTTCAAGTTTGCGAGGTTTTCTACAAAAAGGTTTAGATTGTTACGAACACAACGTAATGTACTTCATCCCTTACACGTTTGTAGACTGAAAGTTGGACTGTGGTCTTCTCGGTTGTAAGGACATGTTGTATTGTAGGTGGTTATCGACGTTTCGGAGGAACGTTTTACCTCTGTCGCCTTGAAAATATATAAAATGCCTCATGGACTACATTTGTTACATTTCTTACATCTCGGTAGCAAAACATTTCGTTCAGGAAGGGATGTTGTTCCAGGAAATGATTAAAATATAATAGAATCGAGGGAAACGAAGAGAGAACTCTTGTAATTAATTTTGTAGACACCGTGTAATCACAATTTAACTTTTAAACACCTGCTTTTTAACTACGGTTTGTGTGTGAGTCAGAATGAAGGGATTTAATTGTAACATAAAAAGTTGTAGTTCTGTGTAATAGTTTAATGGTCCTAATCCCTAGTGCAGCACAAACTTTAGTAATGATGTTGTTAACTACGCACTATGTGTTTATCACATTAACACTGTGTTAACCCGTCAAAACAAGAAGCAAAACCCATGCATGCCGTTAGCACCTTTCATAGTGTTACGTTACAGTTGTGAGGGAGTTTCTTTTACATATGGCAGCTGTTACAGAAGGGAGCAGTTGGAGATATGGAATGGAGTTAAATTGTAGCGTTTAAACTTATTATTCTGCACAATATTACTCTCTGTTCTTATTACAACTAATGGGAAAGAGAGTTTTATTTCAAAGAATAACTTTGACAGCAGAGGGACCGCTTGAGGCTATACGTATATATGTATATATAGACTCTCGTTAAAATCCGTCCAACCGAGATCAATAGAGCAATGGAACTGCAAGTACAGGACGAGGCTCCGGCCACATATTTGCGAGCACAGCATTAGTCCCTGTCGAAGCTGACTTGACTTTATTTAATTTTTAATCTCCACGTGGGTTTGC